CAGATTTAGTCATTGATTGTTGAGGAGGTTCGGATCAATTATAGATCATGCATAAAATTTACTTGTTATGAATATTGTCATTACATGCCATGATCATGTAATTTAGTTTGCATCTCACTTTACATGCTCATTTATGGTTTAGCCTGCTTGTAGGTAGTATATCTTATTTTGTTAATGGGATTCTATTTCACCCCATGGTTACAATTTTACAAATAATAGTGCCAATAGGAGCAAGGGGGAAGGTGATGAAGGCTTCTACTTCTTTGTAAATTCCTTTAGACTTTCAATTCAAATATGTAATTGAATATGTGTATGTGCTGTATGTGCATGTGCGCGTGCGCGTGCAAATATTGCCAATTTAGGAAACATGATCATTTTTATTACACTTGCATGACATATATTTGTAACAATATAATTTGACCTAGGAATATATGTTATGTAATGAAGCTATGCTGTGAGGCCAAAATTCTAATGCAAGTATATGTCTAGTAGAATTGAACTTATCATAGTTATTAAAATGGATGTTTTGATTAGCTAAGTGACTTGTTGAGAATTTGCCCTTTTTTTGTTATTAATATTGCATTTATGTGGTTAATTTGTGTTTAAAATGTGTTATTATCTATATGATTGCTTTATTAAGTGATCGCCAGTCTATTAAACTTGATTCAAGCCTCAGTGGAGGATAATGGCATTTGGTTTAGATTTGGGGCATTTAGATGCGTGTCAATTTTGAAAAAGTAACCATTTTGCATTTGGTTATCCAACTTTTAAATAGGTTATCATTTTGTGATAAAACTGGTGCCATTACCTAGATAACTGAGTAAACTTCATGCGAGCACTTGAATCACTCTAATTGAACGTCATATAACAAAATGGCGAACACTAGAATTTAGTTTTGGTGTGTTGTCATGATAGCATGATGTGCCACGACACATGATAAACACATTACAACATATGGCATAGCGTAGGAGTAATCATTCTGTGTTATCTACAGCGGTGGAGGACAAATTGGCCATAGTGCATGGCCCCTTTTTGGGAAAAATTATAGCTTTGTCTCATCTCTATTTATTTCTTTTAGTTATTATCCTTGTGCTTCCCATGTGTCCCAAACTTTGATTTTAATCACGTGTTGAGTTCAACCAATGTTTTAAAAAGGTTTTATTAGGATCCCAAGTTTAAATGATTTTTAAAATAATTTATTTAATCCTTTTTCTATCATGGTAAGTTAGAATTAATTAGCTCCTAATTACCATTACTGCTTGTTATGTATGGTATGTTCTAGTAATGTCAAGGTGAATATTACAAAGGTTCAAGCTGACACACTAGGACTAGATCAAGCGTGTTTCACTACTAACTCAAGCATTAAGTAGATCACAAAAGCATATTCTTGAGTAAGCACTAGATCAAACATGTGCCTCTTTGAGATAACAAGTTCTAAGCAACCTTAGAACATTTAACTTCACTGAAACACTCAGATATGTGTGCATTTCTTTTGAGATAAGTGCGTATTAGAGGTTAGTGAAGAACAAGGCTTCTGGGCACTAAGACAAATGAGTATTTGTTCCAACAAAAGCGTGAACTAGATCCAACAAAGTCCTATTATGCATTCTTAAGACTAAGACAGGTGTGTGCCCATACTGGTTCAACAAGCGTGTATGAGACTAAAGGCACAAAATGCATTCTAAGAGTTTGACAATAAAGTTTTAGGACTTGTGAGCATATGACAAATTCTAATATGAAAGATTCTTACCATGCAAAGTATGAATATCTCTCACATAGTTTTCACATTAAATTTAAAAGAATATGAAATAAAAAATCTATTTAGACTAAATTAAATTGCTTCTTCCTCTTATAAACATGATTGACCTATCTTCCTTCCATATTTTGCTCATTTTATTTTTGCTTCTATTTTTAATTCATTTCATTCACATATTTTCTTGCAAATTAAACAGCTCCTTAGTATGAAGAGGAGTGACAAATTGTAGAAAATGATAAATTGTTATTCTAATAATTTCTAATGCGCAAAACTCATTCGGGGAGGTGATAAGTTTTAGAATAGAGTATAATATGATGATTAACTTCTTTGCGCGCGAACACACAATGGGGGTAACAATTTATAAAATATAACGAATTATTATACAGATTTACTTTTCATAGACCGAAAGCTTTTTAAAAAAAAATTTATTATATTTTTAACATGCAAATGAATAAAAAATATTTTTTATATTTTTTATATGCATGGCTAATAATTAAAATTTAAATAACAAGATTTACTTTAGAATTTATATGACAATAACACATCTTGAAATAGAAAATTGCTCATTAAAGTTTTATTTTGCATGGGTATTGGGTAAAAAATTTTAATTATTTATTCTTTCACTGTTATAGTTACCTACATATTATTATTTTATACGTGATAAACATTGTCATTTGCTGTAAAATTATCGAGTGAGTACTTATTTAATATTTAACTTTTATTAATTTTACACCACATTTGATTAAGGTAATTGGAGCCAATAATTTAGGCCAACCTTAATAGTTTAACTTGAATAAACCCAAAAAATCTTAGAGTTATGTATTAGAGAGAGAATGAGGAGTAATTATTAAGATTTTTTGGGTGCGATTCTCTCGATGTATATTATAATTTTTTCCTTTTATCTAATATTTAACCACATTTTACTAATTTTTTAATTAAAAAAATTTTTCACTAATATGCCATTAATATAAAGATTTAGTGATTTCATTTTGTGATGAATTTAAATCATTATTAAATTTATTAAATTTGATCAAAATGTGATAACATCATATATTCATCACTAGTTTATGTAATTAGAGATAGATATCAATCTGTCATAAAATTTTCATCACTAATGCCTATAATTAGTTATTTATTAGAGACCTGTCACTAAATGCTTGTCACTAATTTTAATTTCTCTAGTAATGAACTATATATTATGTGTGTCCCTTTTATAAACTTTTACTAAGAGCTCTCACTATTTGGATTTGTTGTGTGACTACTTGTAAGCTTAAGGAGAATAGGTAATTTGAAGTTTTTCCTTATGTGTACCAATTATATCTGCTCTAGTAACTTACACAAGTATGCTCCTATATGTTTTATCTAATTGAGTATAATACATGTACAACATGTGAACCAAATTGTGGATAAGCCTATGGTTTCGATCAGCAATATAATGTTGGACAGAGTAATAAGGGGTCACGTGTCTTGCATATCATCATGTGTTACATATAACTATTATGAATTAAGCGCCATAAATTTGTATGCTTACAATTAATGATAATGAAATCATACGTATAGCTATAGTTAATTCTGTATGGTTGTTATTTTGTGCATGTATGCTTAAATTTTAGGTTATTGAGACATTTGTGCTTAGCCCTTTTTTAAACATTTTAGGTAACCCTAGCAAAGTAAAAGGGAAGTATCTAGAAACTTCAAGCTTAGCGTAAGTAAGCTTTAAGTCCCATTTCAATTTGTAGAATAATTATTTGCTAGTATAGAACTAATTTGTCATTTGAGTTGATTTTCTAAAATTGTTTATTATTTATTGATGACTGATAAGAAGACTATTAGTTGAATCTTAAGACAATAAGAATAGTATAGCTTATTTATATCTAGAGTAAATATTTTAATATAGAATTTTAGTGTCAAAACTTTTATTGAAATAAATATTTGAGTATTTCTAATGGGATGTGATATGCATGTTTGTAGGCTTTTGTAAGCTTAAACTCTTGTGAAATTGAATATTTATTTTTAGGTCTTTTTATGTATCATGGTAGATTCTTTACCACAGTAGGATGTTATTTTATGATTTTAAATAGTAAGATCAAACTTTTATAACCTTAGTAGCTTTTTTAAATAGTTTAATCTTTTTTTCCCCACCAAGGTTAGGTTTTTTTTAAAACATCTATTTATTAGATAAATGTTTTTATAACCATAGTAACTCTTGAAAATAAATTTAAATCTTTTCTACAATAGTTATATTTAAAAAATAAATAAATTTAAGGTACTGGTTTTAAGCTTTTATATCATGATAATTATGTTTTTTATTGATTTAGATATTTCAGTTGCCATAATATTTTGTTAAGTTTTTGGTTAGAAAGTTTAAGGTGTTACATCTTATCAGTCTTTTTTTTTGGGGGGGGGTGTTGATGTGATATAATTTGATTCTTTCACAGGACATTGTAGAATCTTGTTAAGCTATAATGCATATTAATTATCTTGGTATAATAGATGGATGTGATATAATTTATGTGACAGATACAACAAATTTTAAAATTTTAGGAAACAAATATGAAAGACATATGTGCATATGTAATTATATATTATTCAACAAATTAACACATGAGAAATGAATAGCACAATTTTTTAGTTTCAATCAAGTATTCTAAAAGTAATATAAATATATTTATAATATTAATAAAATATGTTTTCTATAAGCTTATATTGGAATATCCCCCCCCCCCCAAAAAAACTGGTGATGAGGGTGGTGGAATATGTTACTGGCGATACATATTAATATGGTTACTGCTTACTGTTTTTTTTTTTTTTTTGTAAAGTATTGGTAATTATTGTACTTACTATCTTAGCTATTAATCATTCGACTAAATTTAATATTGTATCTTAAATACATCATGATACAAAATATATACATATATATAATATCAACCTTCTAAAAAATACAAAATAATAAAATCTATGGAAGACGCGACATATAACCAAGAATATCTCTAAGAATCTAGCTATGTTCGTTATGTTCGTCAGAGCCTCAGAGATAGAAATAAGCCAAGGTATATTTTAATTTGCAATATATCTATCTCAAGGAATACAAATCACACAATAAAATCAATGAAGCAAGGTGAAGGTATATCTAAAAACATGTTGTAAAATCCTATTTTTGAATCGGTCAAACGCACAAGATGTCCCGCAGCTAATCAAATCATTAATATAAAAATATAAGTAAATAAATATCGAAAATCTTCAATGAGGCAAATAATCAACCATTGTCATTGAATAAGTGTCTTAGCCGTTGAAAGACGCTGTGTCAGGGAAGCAGATCAATCTCTTCAACTACTTTTTCTCTTATGAAACATTTCAGACTGATCACAGAAAAAGTAAGGGAAGGGCACACTCATTAAAGCAGAAAACAACAGAAAGTCAAACATCAATTGACGAAGGGAGGTTACTATTGTTTAAAATCCATCTAGTAGAATCAATAATACTATCTTCCCAACACGAGCTTGGTTTCTCACTCTCCTCAAATCCATGCTTATTTTCTGAGGAGAGTCCTGTACTATATGTGTGTCACTTGGAAGGAAAAATCTGGTCTTTATTACGAGACTGTGTTCCACTGCTATTCAGTGATCGAAGAAGCTTTGGATTCATCATCATACTCAAGCTGAACGGCTTTGTAGATTGGCTCGTAGTATAAACAGAAGGACTTATCAGAGAATTTGATGATGAACTTAACATCTGATACTGATCGATCTGCCCTTGATGATCCATATCCATTGCCCCAATATTTGAAGGGAAGTAGGGCTGAGTTATTGGTCCAGTTGATAAAGACAAGGTTGATGACAATGCTGAGAAAGGTACAACGTTGTTAGAGCTGTGTAAACCTGTCTGGTTTGCAAATCCAAGGTTTCCCGAGTGAAAAACATGGCCTGAATTAGCCTCCCATTGGTTATTATTAACACCACAACCAAGCGGCATAGTGTTCAACAGACCCAGAAAAGAAGGATGATGGTGCGGAGGAGGAGGATTATTATTTGCCCTCCTTGTCAACACATTGTCTCTTACATCCTCTTCACCAGTAGCCACTTGTCCTTTGGACTTGGTCACGATTGAGTTTGAACCTTCCAAGTGATGAAGACTCTCATTGATGTTAAGCCCTTGTTCTTCATTTGGCTGAGAAGTGGAAACTTGATTATTGTTCATCATAGAAGTTACTGATCCAGATGGCTGATCACAGAAACTGAAGCTTCCCGGTGGAATTTGCAGTGGTGGGAGTTCATCAATTTTATGCTTAGCTGCATCAAGCAACCAATCCACAACCTTACTGGGCTGGTTGAACCCTAACCTCTCTTGAAGATCATATAGCTGAATAGCTGTGGAAACTGAAAGTCTCACTCGTCTATCTCTCAGTCCTCTCACTGTGCACACCTTGCTGTGACGATCTTTCCCTCCGAAGGCTCGTGAAACACGAACAATCCTTGGATCCTTTGATCTTAGCCATTGTGCTGTTAAGCTGCTGCTTGATGAAGTCGAAGCCTTCTTCGTTTTGTCATGATGATTTTCCTGCTTTAACGACAAATCTGCTTCTTTTGAAGTTCTAATAATGTTGTTCATCATCTTATGTCTCTCATGGTTACTTTCTCAACGAAGAATTTTGCTGTCCTTTCCGTCTTCTTCGTTCGCCAAATTACTCTTCCAGCTTCAACAATGAAAACTCTTCATTCTCTGAATTGTTGATAGACATATATACATATTCACACACAAGAGACCGCTTCAACATATATGAATCTAATTAAGTTTCCATTAGACAGTTCGTTTGTGTCAGCTCAGGGGGGGGGGGGGAGCCTAAACAGAAAGTGTTTCTTCTCGGAGACGGAACAGTAATTTTCAATTATTGCTCAGATTTCGTATTAATGAAGAACGATATTGAAGCAGAAAAGGCGGACTTGCGGCTATTCTGTAGGGGATTACATCAAAAACAGTATAATTCCTATAAATAATTTGGATTTTGAAGAATAAACTTTAGATATACAGGCTTTGAACATATAGAAACATCTCTATCTAAAATCGAAATATTGAAAACATTACAGTAAAAAATAGTTGCAGTAAATGACAGACAAGTATAGAAGAATAGTGACAACAATTAAATGAGGTGCAAGCTAGCTAGGTCTATTATCAAGCTATTTAGTACTAACAATTATATGATAATAGAACATGTTCACATTCAAAAGCAATTATAGCTGCAGAGTTTTCAAGAACCCTAGCTAGATAGTTAATAAAGTAGGAGTATAAAAATTAACTCACAAGATCACCGGCCCCTATCTGATAACAATACGAAGGACGAGAGAAAAAAGGAAGACGTTGGCACAGTGCCTTGGATACGAAGATCTGGTTAAGAACAGAATTGCTAGGTTTAAAGTTTGGGTTTTGATTTGATGGCGCGGAATAAACTTGGTGAACAAGTTGAGCCGCTGTAGAATGGAAAGGGAAGAAGAAGATGCTGGCACTGAACCGACCACGCCGCACTGAAAGATAAAGCAATGGCGCATGGGTGGCCACGTGGCATATATCCAGATCGGTCAAGTAAACAAGGTAGTTTAGTTTATACTTCTCATCTTAATCATAGGACAAAGTTAATTTTGTTACGAGGTCTGTGTAGAAAAGCATTTCTTAAAAGAAGACAATCATTTATATGGCATTCACATTTTTTAAAAGATTAATTTTACAGTTACTGACTGTAGCTTGTGAAAATATCTTGGATAACAAAATAAAAATGTTAACTAATTTACAGTTTTAAAAATAATAATTGATACTTAAATTTACATAAAAATGTATGACTTTTTAATTTTTACCTTCATTTAAAATGATAATAATAAATTGCTATATCAGAATTTAAAAACATGCTAGCAATAACTTGTTGCATTAAGGAGGGGTGAGATTAAAAAAAATTTAACTGACAAACTCTACTTGATCTTAAATATAAGACAGAATTTGTGACTGTGTGTATGCCATTTCAATAATCACAAGAAATAATTATAGTTGTCATCCTTTTCAAAATATCATTGATTCTACTTAGTAATGGAGCCAGGACTCGAAGTTGGAGGATGCAAGATAATTTAATTTAAATATTGTTAATTTTTTTAAAAATAATAATCACACTATGACTAACATTGTAAAAACATAAGTAAATTGATTATCATTTTTATAGAAAATTATTTTGAAAATGTTAATATGGTCTCATGTAAATATCTTCTTCATATTTTATTTTGATCATTAAAATATTAGGTATTTAATAAGCTTTTAAGCCTAAATATTTTTTATTTAGCTTAGAGGTTGTGAAATATCAAGAGTGAGAGGTGCAAAGTTGCAACATTTGAACACTCTATTTATAATTTTTTTCTAAAGTGAGAGGGTGTATTGGCCTGCCCTCACCATCAAATGGCGGAGCCGCTTTATTCTACTAGAAAACTTTTGTATAGGAAATGGGATTTAAACTTTAATTTTATGTTAAGGGAGGATAATAGGAAAACTGATTATCTAGTTAAGTTGTGTCATAGTCTCCTCACTAATTATAATCTTTTTGAGGATCCGCCGTGTTAGTTTTTGTTTTATGGGTGGTGTCCTACTTTTTTTTCTCTTTTAGATTTCTGTTTGTGTAGGTTGTTTTTGCTGTGGATTTTTTTTTCTCTGATTGTGTCTGTATTAATTCAATTCTGAATAAAAAGAGTTTTGAAACTTTGTTTGTTTTATCATTAGGATGGGAGAGATTACTTTATATTAATTCAGAAATTATTGATACCCTCGTATATGTAATATCAAGTCATACACTTTCTTTAATAAAAATTAAATCAAATAAATTAGTGTAGAGGAAAACAATTGGACAAATGCTATAATAAAAAGAGTTTTGAAGGGAAGAGATGATATTTTTAAAATCTGAATTAGAGCTTAAATCTTGAAGATATATAGAAGAAAACATTTGACAATAAACCAACCTTTTATTTTGTCTGATAATATTTAAATTTGAATCAGGCAACAATAAATATAGATGTTTCAAGAAAGAAGGGAGAGTAAAAGCCAGCCATATACAGTTGGTTTAAGTAGTTCAGTTATTAGATTTTCTTTAATATGCTTATTTTGAATTTTTAACTTTTTATGGATGCTCGCACATTTATCTCAATATTTTCATCTTGGCTACTCTAACTTTATGCTTCTAATATTCTTCTAAAGCCTAACATTTACTACCATATAACATAGTTGGTCTTATAGTAGTTCAATAAAATTTTCCTTCAAGTTTATTAAGCACCTTTCGATCACAAATAACTTATTTAGTCTTTATTTTTTTTTCAATTAAACCACCTAACTTGTATTATATGTGCAACATCCCCATCAATTTTTCTATCATATTGAATAATAGCTCCCAAATATCTAAACTTTTTCACTTGAGAGATAATCTGATCTTTCAATTTTACTTCTAAATTACTACTAATTAACCTCTTATCAAAATTACAATGCAAATATCCTGTTTTATTCCTACTCAGAAAAAAAAAAAAAACCTTCAGCTCCAAGGTCCTTCTTCATAACTTTCAAGTTTATAGTTAACCTCTTCTCTTAGTTCCGCAATAAAAACTATACCATCCATAAAAAGCATGCATTTGGAGATTTTCTCTTGAATATACTCAGTTAAAATATCTAAAATCAAGTCAGATAAATAAGGACTCAAAGATAATCTCTTATATAGTCCCATCCTTATAAGAAAGACCTTTTTTCACTACTAGACATTCTTACATACTGGTTGTTGCCCCCTTATATATCTAATATAGCTCTAATATAGGTGACCTGAACTTTTTTCTTTTTTAAGGCTTTTCAAAGTGCTTCTCTTGGTACACGATCATAAGTTTTTTCCACATCAGTGAAAATCATTTGTCAACCTTAAAATTTACTTTGATACTTTTTCATTAATCCACTAAGTAGATAAATCATTTTTGCAGTTGCCCTACCCAACATGAAGCCAAATTGATTATAAAAAATACTAGCCTCCAATATCAACTTATACTTAATCACTCTTTCTTACAATTTTATTGTAGGACTCATAAACTTAATCCCTATATAGTTTACACAATTCTAAACATTCCCTTTTTTTATAAATAGGAACTAATGTACTTTTCCTCCATTTGTCAAGCATTTTCTTGGTCCATAAGATCTCACTAAATAACTTAGTTAGTTACTACACCTTCTCTTCACCTAAACAATTCCACACTTTAGTAAAAATACAATCAAGTCCAATGGCTTTACCATTTTTATTTTTTAAGAGCTTCCTTTACCTCACTATTGCATATCCTTTTGTAGAATAACAAATTATATTCTCCTTTAAGAGTTACTAAATCCTCTAAGTTACTCTATGAGACCACTTTTATCATTGAAAAGTTTATAAAAGTAAGTTTCCCATCTATCTCTAATATCACTATTTGTAATCAAAACTCTTATTTCTTTATCCTTTGTGCACCTTATCTATTTTAGATCTCTTGATTTTCTTTTCCTATCCTTAGCAATCTTATAAATTTTTTGTTCTCCATCATTTCTCCTAAGACCCTTGTAAAACTCTTCAAATGCCTTAGAACGAGCTTCACTTACATCTTTCTTACTTTCCTTCTTAGTCATATGATATCTTTCCCAATTTTAGCATTATTGTACAAAGTGAATGGTTTTAAAATACTCCTTCTTATGTTTGACTTTTTTCCTATAGGTTTTCATTTCACCATAAAGAATCCTTATTTTTTTGACTAAAACTTTTTGATTCTCCCAAAACTTCTTTAGCAACCTTCCTTACCTTCTTAACCATATTCTCCCACAAGATGCTAGCACTTCCCTAAGCCTTCTAAATTCCTTTAGCCAAAAGATTCCGCTTGAAAATTTTCCTCTTCTTATCTTTGAACTGCCACTACCTAATCCTTGGTTTCACCAGTTGTCGATGCTTTTGATTTTCACTCTTAATATGCATATCAAGAAAAAGGATCCTTTGTTGTGTTGTTACGCTATCCCTAAGAATTACCTTACAATTTTTACAAAGTCTTCTATTCATGTTCCTTACTAAAGAAAACAATCTATGACCTTGAGGTCAATTTTAGTAAGTGATAAGATGTTCATCCCTATTATTGAAACAAGTGTTGATAATTTTGAAATCATATGCCAAAGACAAATTAATAATAGATTGTCCTTCACTGTTTAAAACCACCATGCACCTGCACATTGTTACTTGCCTCCCCCTTAACATGATCATTAAAGTCTCCACAAATAAAGATATTTTCACTTTGTGGTATGCTTTGAATCAATTGCTCCAAGTTTTCCTAAAACAATTCCTTAAGATTAGCTGTTACCCTAACTTGAGGTGCATAAGCGCTAATAATATTGGTAGTCTAATATCCAATGATCATTTTTAAGGAAATAATTATATCCTTAGCTAATTCTATTAACTTCTACATGTTCTTCTTCCACTCCTCATCAACAATGATGCTCACCCCATTTTGTGTGCTTACTTTTCTTGTATACTAAAGTCTGAAAGCTTTAATATCTATAGCTTGTTCACCAATCCATTTGGTTTCCTGCAAGCACAAGATATTAATTCTTCTATGAATAATATTCTCCTACCATCTCCATAGATTTACAAGTCAAGGTCCCAACAATTCAAGTATCAAATCTGATCTTGCCCACATGAACTAACTACTATAGCTGCACTTATCTAGAATATTGTGATAGCTCTTGCTTATTTAACACTACATCTAAGCATCAACACAGTGGCTCTAACTCATTTTTTACTACACTCAAGCCACATAGAGCATTACCTATGGGCAACAATTTAGCATTAGCACAAAAATGTCTATTGTTCATATTCAAATAAGATTTAATAAAGTTTTATATTAGCTATTAAAGGCTTCACATAACCCTTCTCCTTTGATAAATGGTAATTTTATATATTTTTATTCTTTTAATTTAGACTTTTAAATATTATTTGATGCTAATTAAGTTTAATTAGATATTGATACAGAGTATTTTAGATAAGAAGAATAAGGACATGCTTGAAGATCAAATCAAGAATCAAATTTTAGAAATTTTGTTTATATTTATCTTGGAATTTTCAGCGTAGTGTTCAATTAAGGTTATTTAGGGTAGTTTTATCCTTTTATTACATTATTATGTTTTGCAGTGGCGATCGTTCTTCCGCTCTTTTTGTTCAAGGTGCTGTTTGATTTTTAGTTCCATAGAGAGGTGAATATTTTCATGTGATCAATCATAAACATGATCCTAAATTTTAATTAAAGTCTTTGATATTTAAGAAAGATTTTATTCTAGCTTTATTCTAATTTTCTCTTCTTCTCTTTATCTCAAAATTTTACGCTTTAATTGCTGTTGCTGATTAGAGTAGCATGCATAATTTTTAGGTTATATATTTTATCTAAAATTTTGCTTGCTATGATTGATTGATATAGTAACATAAGAGTAA